TCAACCAAATAATTGGAATTATTTTCTCCTTATAATGGTGTCAAGGATTATGGGATATATATGAGCTGTATATGAAGAATGGAGGGCAGCAGCTGGAGACAAAGTATTTTCTTTTATAGATTAAAATAAATTCTAAAACAATTTAAATATATGGCAGAGGGCTTTTTTTTCCCTGACATATTATGCTACCATGCATTTGTGTATGTTTAAAAAAGATACCTCCATTTTAAAGGTGAGTTTTGTATTTTTTATTAACTTCTAAAATATACGGATCGGGCCTAATCACCTTCTGCTCCTAGAGAGTAGGAAATTGATTCTATATGCACAAATAGTAACATGGAATCTTACATGTTGACATTTTTTCTAAAAGTTTTCATGTTGGAGAAATAATCACTCTACAAAACCACGATAATCAACTGCAAATCATCAATGACTTGAACTTTTTTTAAGGTTAAATTTTGTGGGGAAATACAATGTGTAACAATCTTTCTATGTAATGTATTTTTACTGGATAATTACCTTCATATAGATTTTTTTTTCTGCAATAGAACCCTTGTCTGTGGACAAGAAGATGCAAACAGGAAGATGAGCAGATAAACCTTTATGATTCTTGTGGCATTAAAAAAAACCACAGGACAGTTATTAGTTATTTTAATGAGATCATAATGCAAACTGAATGATTTTTGATTCACATGTTTAGCATCCCAGTTGTGCCTACCTGCATCTCAGGTCTATGGAAGAAGACCTTCCCTGGAGAATACCTCATAGTCCCTTACCATGGATTTCATCTAGGATGTGAGATTTATTTCTTACAGACTGCTTTAAATATTTCTGCTAGGCTTTGCGTTTACAGGTAGAAATAGAAAACTCTCAGTACAACTGATATTTCATGTGTAGGTAAATAACATGCTGAAGTAGGATCACAAATGCTGGTCATGTTTCTGTGGTACCAGATACCTTTTTCAACTGATAGAAGTGTTGCCAGCATAGTTTTTACAGCTTACTTTAGTGCAGCCTTGGCTGCACTGATCAGCTTTAATGAGCCCTGACCCACCTCATGTGATGCCTGAAGCCACAGCCTTTGCCTGTGGGCCCAGGAATCCATTCCAGCTCTGCCCTGCACCTTCACTTCCTTGCTGAACTACTGTGGGGGCTGCTTCCTGAGGGGTGAATATAATAAGTGACTGGGAGGGCAAGGATGTAATGAAGCCTCAGATGTTATAGCCAGTGGCATTTCACAGTTCTATCCAGCAAAGAATGATGAAATTCTGAACCTTGAATGGTGCTCTGGGCCCTGGAGGGTAATTGCACTCTATTAATTCCAGCTTTTTTCCTTGTCCTTTGAAGTAGTGACCTTATCTGCCATGATCTAATTCTCATGACTCACTGTTCTAGATCCTTTCTCTTTGCTTTGTTGGTCCTGTTATGTGAGCAAATGCAGTGCCACAGGGTAAGCCAAACTTGCTGCACGCCAAGTACTTTGTGGTAATAATAAATGTAGGTCATTGGATAAAAAATTGAAGTAGCAAAAAATGGAAGTTGATGTTATCCTGTTAGGTGTTCAAGGGCTTTTACATCTGATATGTCCGGTTGGTTCCAGTTTCCATATTTAAAACATAAACACAGTAATGCTTCATCCATAATCAAGCCATCATTATGCAATAGAATCTCAGCTTATGTCCACCACATTCCTCCAAAACTTGTATATATGAAAGCTATAAAATTGTATATACCTTTTTGAATAGTTAATGTTTTCAGTCAATGAGGAAATCAATGGCCCTTCTGCTGTTATTGGAATCCTGTCTGTTTTCTGAGGTGGGGAGAAATTAAAAATATAAAGTAGTTATATATAATATTTTTATATCTAATTATGTACAACATGGGTAATTACCTAAGATGTATCAGTGGCAACACTTTATATTTGTCATTTTTCTTGCACTCAATCCCAAAACAAGTTTTATTGGAAATGGAATAGTGAATTAGGTGAGCAGCATATGAGTCTTCTGACTGTTATTTCTGACTTTTATGAGTCTTCTGACTGTTATTTCTATCCTTATTTCCCTTTTTTCCCCCCTCTTGTCAAAAAAAGAGAAAATGGTTCCTGGATTCTCTATTCTGGGGTCAAAAAGCTACTCTAGTACCAAAGTGGATGTAAATGGAGATCAAAAATTAGGGTAGTGATTTAGGATTTGAATTAGAATCTCAGGGGTGTATCTTCCTTTACTGACACACTAAGTTGAGATGTTTTCAGTGAGTTTTAGTAATACAGCTTTTTCATTTGAAACACAGAATCACAGGAAGGTTTAGATTAGCAAGGACCTTGAAGATGATCTAATTCCTGCTGCCACCCCAGCGCTGCCATGGGCAGGGATGCCAGGCACTAGCTCAGGTACCCAGGGCCCCATGCTGTCAGCTCTGACAAGCATGACAGTTAGTGGCTAACTGTTGTTCTACCATTTGCAAAGGCAAACTTTGTTGGACTGCAAAACAGCAGTAGAATGTAATCCAGGAGGGAATCAGTTTAACTTTGCTCTTGTATATTAAAAAAAATCTCACTGAGCACTGGTGTTCAGACAAGGAGTGAAAGAATTAGGCTGTATTAATTGTGTTTTAGGAAAGCTCTCTGCAGTGTGTTAAATGAAGGTGCAAACTTATGTATTAAACATTGGCAACAGAAATTTTTTTTTAATGTCTTGGAATTTGAGGGTATGGCTCTTTTAATAGTAACTAGTAGCTAGTCAGGAGATTGCAGAAGTTACGTAGTCTGAGTGTTCAACAAGCAGGAGATATGAAAAATGGAAGGCTTATAGTCTCTTGCTCATGTATGTTTTTGGGGTTTTTTTTTTTCCAGAAAGGAAATTAGTTAATATATCTGAACAGCAAAGCTACAAACCTGTGTACAGTTAATCAAAGACATATAAAAACTGTAGTGACATGACCACCTTCTCTCACAATTTTTTTTTAACCAAAAATAATAATTCAAGCAAATAATAATTCAGCAAATAATAATTCAAGCAGAAGTGTATGCATTTTCTGGTTAAATTTTTGATTCCTGTTTTAAACTGGTTTTGCCATCTACTGCCCCAAGTTCAGACACATTCTGAAATTTACTGGTGTTCCATGTGATTCTCACAAAACCCATATTTGTATAGTACACATTTAGATTACGCTTTGTGACATCCTTCTTTTGTAATCTTATTTATAGGTGATTCCTAGATCAGTTACAAGGGGGAAAAAAAAAAAAGCTAAATGCTCATTGAAACATTCTGGCATTATCTGCTGAAATTCTGTTCTTGATACTAAGTTGGGTTTTTTGAGTAATTAAACTAATGAACTTTAGTCACCTGTGAATTTATTTTCTGTTGTTGTATTTTCTGGTGCATGAGATCTGATTGAAACTTTTCCAGGGTTTGAAGTATTGCCTGAGAAGTCTTGTCTGGACTGAGAATACTTCACCAGTGACAAATTATGTTCTGCTAAAACATCATCTTGTACCAAAGTCTCAAGTTCTTTCCCTCTAATGACCCAAAATTCATAAACAGCCTGCTTGAAGATATCTCAGTAGTTTATTCCTTTCCCAGTGTATCTGAGATCTGTGCTTTTCTGCTCTGCCCATATAGGTGTCTCAAGTCTCTACCCACCCCTGCATCCAGGTCCAATGTTTAATAGAACCATAAATGTTACTGTCCACCTGTGTGATAACACAGGTAACTACTTGTAAAACCTATTATGATTTTCTTAATTTGCTTTCTATTTTCACTTAGTTTGTTCTATTTTTTTCTGAGGAAACAATGTGTTAGGACTTTGCTCCAGCCCTTTCTCTTCTCTTGATTGTCCTAATAAGCTTGTAAATTTAATAAAAATCTTACATTTAATTAAATTCCTAGGCTTTTTCTTAAATTGATGACCAGATAGAGAAGGTATTATAAAATATTAACTGAGTTAAACTTATGTGTGAGTACATGTCTTAGCAGATATCAGACAATTTGCAGTGGCATGTCCCTATGTCCTAGTCACAGAAGTTCCAGCAGCATCTTGGACACGAGTGCCAGTGAACAAAGAAACTGTACTTAGTTATTCCTTTGTGCAAGGATCTGTTTCTCACCTTTTCTTATTAATGTTCTTTCTGGGCTAAACATCATTCCTCTGCTTAGCATCTCTCAGCAACTGTGATCATTTTCATTCATACATTGAATTTCTCAGTCTTCATGTCCTCTCATTCCTGGAGTGAAGATTCTTTCAGACGCTGGAGATTTAGAGTCTCTCCTTTTCTCCCGGCAATCAAGGGTTTGGTTTCCCTCCTAAGGTCTTATCTTCTTATATCTTTACAGTGTTCCTTCTCCCCACTGCCTTGTAAGTATCCTTCTGCCCTGATCTTTTCCATTTAGGAGTGTTATTCTTAACAGTTCTTTGTCTCTCTTTGCCCTCATCAAGGTTTTTCTGTTTTCCTTCTGCCCTACCATTGACTGACACCAATCTTTCTTTGCCTCACCAAAGTTTTTCTGTTTTCCTTCTGCCCTACCATTGACTGACACCAAATAATCTTTCTCCTCAATTCTGACAGTCCTCAGGAAGCTCTTTTTTTAAACCCACCACTAGCAAAGTGGTGGGTTTAAAAAAAACCAACCATCTTCTCACCCAAGAAAGATGGCAAGAACTGCCAGGAGATCAGACTGGAAAGCTGCCTGCCTTTCCAGGTAAGGGCAGCAGAAGAAGCAGCCTCATGACCCCTCTGGCTGCAGGGCCTGAGGTGGAGTCCTCGGCCTTCCCATGGGGTCTCTTGCACAGGCTGCAGTGACACATCAGAGGGGAGTTGGGCAGCTCTTGGCTTCCTTCATGTGTTCTTTTTCCCTTTTCCTCTTTTCTACCTCTCTTACTTCACCCTACTTGGCCTTCTTCTACTTCTTTTCTTCTAGACTTGTTTAAACGTGTTCACCAAGTTTTCTTCTTGCATTACACTTCACTGAAGCATTCTCTTTAAAAAATCCCATTAATAGCTTGCCTTCTTTTTGTGTTTGTGTTTTTTTCTGCCTTTCTGTCCCTTTACTTATTTTGCATTTCCAAGCCTGATCTCTTTGAAACAGTGTGCGCATTAAAATAAATAAATAAATAAATAAATAAATAAAGACCTGTAATACTGTTAGTTTTCTTCAGGCACCTTTCCAGTGCATTTAATATAACTGAAGGGCACGGAGTTTCCTTGGATAAGGCAGGCAGACCGGATCCTGGACACCACTCCTGGGCTCAGCTGTACAGCTCGTGGGCCCTCTTTGGCTCCCATTCTGCTTTCAACACAGCAGCAAAAGCTGAGCAAAGGTTTTCTTCATCACCTATGGGCCCATCCTGGTTTAGAGTGGATTGCCAAAATAACAGAGCATATGAAAGGTGCCAACACTCTCTTCTCAGATGACCTCTGCAGTCCTTTGACACTTAAGAAGGCAGCATGATCTGATCTCAGGCAATCTCTACTACAACAGATCCCCGGCAATGTCTGTGTTACTGCCTCTAGGCTGGCTCAGCGTCTCCAGCGGGGAATTTGTAGCACCCAGCCGCTGGCGTCTTCTCCTGGCGGAAGCTCAACCATTTGAAGAGAAGGGGAGGGAAAAAAAAATCCCAATCAGGACGCTTGCACATGCTGTTCTCTGCTTGCTCGCCTGGGTGTTCTGCTGAAGGACTGGGACATCTGCAGAGGAGGGGGAGCGGCGGCGGCTGGAGCGTGCCCTGGTCAGGGCTGGAGTTCCTCCAGCGCCGGGGGCTGTGAGTGCGCTCAGCCGGGGGGCGAGCAGCGGGGCCGGGATCGCGCTACCCGGAGCGTACGCAGACAGACGTGATTCAAATTCAAGCCTAATGGCCTCTGGCATAAACAACATTCATCAGCCCGGGACTTGCAATGGATCTAAAGCCGCTCGTAGCAGCTCGGCAGAGGAATGCAGTCGGGAAATGCACGTGAAAATGTGCAAGAAGATTGCCCAGCTCACTAAGGTAAGTCTCGCTGTTGCAGTCTTTCAAGGGAGGTGAGGCTGTCCTGGCCGGGGGTGTCAGGGAATTGTCTCCTCTGGTGCCCCTAAGAGGAGGCAAGGGAAGCGGGTCCTCTCTTCTTAGGCTGTTGCCGAGAACATCGCCGTGCACAAACTTCCCTGCGCACAGTTCCCCCGCGGGGGCTGCAGCCCGTCCTAGGGGGTGCCTTTGTGGCAGCCGGTGGACGCCTGCACTGAACTGCTCTGATTACCGTGCGACCATAACGGGAGGAGCTCCAGCTCCGCCAAGACGCGGGGTTTGACTGGCAGCTGTTCAGAGGGATTGGTAGTATCCGCTTTGCTTCTAGAATTACGAAGACTGCAAGTAATTTGAGTTTTATAGGTTCTCAAGTAATATTGTTACAAAGCTGCAGCCAGCGCGTGGTACTACAGTACAATAATACTCTGACTCGCAGCTAATTGTTCCTGATGTGCATAAGGGCTACTTTAAATGACGTTTGTAAAAGGAGTTGAGAAGAGACAGGACTGAATTACGTGGTATATTGTACTTAAAACTTTTAGTCAATAGTGAACTATTTGATATTTTCCACACCGTGTTAAGAAATGATTAGATGTAGATGTAAATGTGTAGGAAATGGCAGTTATCTATTAACCTATTCTTATGCTGCATCTTTGTCAGTGAGGAAAACATATTTACTACCCTTGTTTATGCAGTTTTTACATGGTCTGTAACCTCACTGCAATTGATATAGACTTATTGGCAATGAAAAAACATTGACTGAAAATACAGGTCAAAGAATAAGAAGTCATTTAGATGTTCAAGTGAGAATGGCTTACTAGTTACAGTGCTATCATTCTCATAATAACTGTATGTGATAGTGTACATCATGTGCATCAATACATAAACAAGAGCTACCTCTAATTACATGTACTTCCTATATTATACCTTCTGTACTATACCAATACTTACTTTACAGGTTCTTTGTATGTTTTAATAGAATTTGTACACAATAAAATCCTTTCTTTTGCCCATACATTGTATAATTTTATTGCAGTAATTTTTTTCATATGTCTTTTGCTAAATTTCTACTGTTAAAGTGTGTGTGGGTTGATTTCTTTAGTTTTGATAGAATTTCCCCTCTAGATGCTTTTCAGTTATCTGAAATAAAGATGATTTATACCTGAAGCTCAAAAAATACTTCTGAAAAGCAAATAATTCTGTTTTGGAATGTGGCTTTTAAGAAGTAATTTTCTCTGCAATACTTACAGAGAATTCATGGCACAACTGGAATTTAAATCACATGCTTTCCCTTCTGAAGTCTGTGTAGACTAATGCAGTGCCAACAGCAAGCACGTAAGAAGCAAAATCTGACACCAGATCAACTGAAAATTGGCTATATGGCAAATTTGTTATAGTAATTTTTGGCCTAGGAATTTTGAGAGCTCCTTTTTAAAGCTCTTGTTTTCTTGGTTATATTACAGTCTGAATGATTATAATAAAATCCCTTCTAAATTTAAATGGCCCATAGTGCTTTCCTTTTTGTTTCTAACTCATTATGCAATAGTGCTGTGTTGTTGCACAGCTGCAACTTCCTGTCTCAGTGACTGTAGATTTTCATTGAGGAGGAGATAATGATCTCATTATTCATCCACTCAGTTTTGTGCCAGGTGAGATGTGTGCAAAATATGTAAATTAGGTATAAGATATAGATCTTGACTTCCATTCTCTTTGTTACATAGTCACTAGGGGCCTCCTCCTACTCTCAAAGGCAAAGTGTGTAAAGGTATCAACAGGAACCAAAGTGGGTGAGATGATGAGTTCCTGTCCTTGCATGTAGTGCTGATGATGTCTTAAGGTGTTAGGGATCCAGGAATACAGGGATCCAGGGAATCCCAACAGCTAATTTGGACAGAGACTCTGCGAGCTGCTCCCATTCTACTACCCTGCTATTTCTGGTTTTGTAGAGGTAGAATATAGGAAGTTTTCATACCTTCAGTCATGCATTTTTTCTCTTCCCAACATTTTTGGCTGTAGCAGCAAAAAATACAAACCTTTAGCAATATTTTGTTTGCTTTGAGCCACAGACTACTAGTTTTTTGTAGCTCATTTCTCTTGAAATGGCTGTATTTGTATTGTATTTGATTGTAGTATAATGCATGACTTTGTAGTAGTTATTAAGTAATACCAATGATGACGTTCAAACTTCTCCATCAGACACTGGACCCATGGCATGCTGTTTCATGCTTCCCAGTTCTTTGTACTTCTGTATCTGTTTAGCAATGACGTGGAGTTTAAGATGCATGGTGACTTTTATAAGACTTGGGGTGTCACTCCCTGCTGCCTCAAGTTATGGATTTGTAACATCTACTGGCTATTAAGGGATTTTCATGTGCTTATGGTATCTCAGCATAGTCCTTTTCACTTGAAATAGGATGAGAAATTCAAATGAGCTTTTGAAGAAGAGGGTTGAGGATCAGCTTTCATTAACAGAGGCAGTTTGGACAGGGCTGACAGGAACTAGATACACCACAGATATCTGTGCTATTCAGGCTTCTTTTCAAACCTCTGCCAGTGTGGCTCAAACCAAACCTGCTGTTCTGGACTGCAGTTCTGAAACCAAGCCTATTATGAGTACCTAGAAAGGTGACAGTACCTGGTGATCAGAGAGCTAAGCCACAAACTAGTTTGTTTCCTTCTTAGAAACAAATTCCTGGATACCAATTGAGGGGTATTTTTTAATGAGAGAAAACAGTTATTCTCAAATACTTTTTTCCCCTCAGGGTTCATCTGACCCTATATTGCAAATCTGGGAACCTTGTTGTAAGTCACACATTTTAAATTGCAGTATTACTGGTCAAGCAGATTGTTACTAAAAAAAAAAAGTCAAAAAGTCAAGTAGTCTGGCAAAAATTTTGTGTATATATGTTGGATACTGTGAGCTGTAACAGAGGAAAAGAGTGCTGATGCAAGGAAAAGTTAATTGCTGGTAAAATGCACTTGCAAATCCTTTTTTCCCTTTAGGGGAAAGAAATGTCAAAGGGAAGCAAGTGTGTTCCTCTTCCAGAAGCAGCAACATAGGCAGATGTTCCTTAATGACTCTGTGTGGTGCAGTTCAAAATGTTACATGTTCTGACTGCCTATCACCAGCAGTCACTAGGAGGTTTAGCCCCTCAGCTCGGTCAGCAAGGTAGAAAATATGACCATTATTTAATAAGCTTCAGTGGAAAATCAGCCAGAAAAGCAAAACCCTCTTTCCTGCATTGTTTAAGGGAGGGATGGCTGATTCCTGCTCTATTATGCTCATATTTAGTTTTGTTAGCTTCACTCTTGTGGGTGGAGATTTACCTAAAAATTCAGTAAGTGACCTGGCACAGTGTGTGAGGCCATAAACTGTGTACACCACTGCAGTGTCTTGTAGCAGGGCTATATATTAGACCTTTTAACCTTTCTCCCTTTATTTGTCATAAAGCTGTCGAACATTTCTTGGTTTTAGACACGAAATATGATCAAACTTTAATGGTTTATTCTGGAAGCACCTAACAGCTGGATAACTCTAACAGAGCACTTCTGTGGTCTACTCATATTCCTGTTGAGAAGTGTGGCCTTTTCCACATAGTTTAAGTTTATTGGCCTTGTTTGCTGTGGTGTATTAACAGTACTCACTAACCAGTGCTTAAGTGGTTCAGCTGCTGTGCAGTTAGTTATTATGCTACCAGAGCTCTCCTGTGTGCTTAAGGCTTTTTGATCTCAGCTCTCTAGAGACGTATTCAATATTCTACAAAAATGAAGCAAAATAGAATAGAATAAAAACTAGGATCATGCTTTTGGAGCAACAGTATTTTTCTTTTCAGCAAGGAATATAAAAATTATTTCCATGTAGGCGAATAGAGAGAATCTATACAACTGCTTAAATCATGTGCTAACAAGACCAACAAAATCAGCCATCCATAGCCCCAAGTACTTTCTGATGTATTTGTTTTCATTATTTTTGTGTACAATTTGCTATCAAAGCTAGCATTATTTTTGCCTATGAGCTGACAAGAATGTGCAGTAACTTGTCATTACTATGTTTTTCCTTACAGAAAGTTCCTCCTTAAAAAGGATCTCCTGTATTATTAAATGTATGATCAACGCAATAAAATTGCGTTGATCAGCTAGTCAAAAGCAGTATTAAAGCCATACTTCTGTTAGGAAAATGCCTAGTATCTTCTTTGGATAGCTAGAAATTATCATTTAAATTAATTCATGGGAGAAGAATGACATCTATGTATGGAATTACTTCCTTACCATACAAATTTGTCACTAATTATATCAAGTTTGCAGAAAATCTGATGGTCTTATTAACTGGCAACTCAAGACTACTTTATAATGGAGAGTACATAATGAATTCAAGTCTCTTTATCAATGAATACTAGTTAATGTTTATATACATGTTTTACATATTATTAATATGCAAATTACAGGCAATAGGCAATAAAATATCTAATGATCCATTAATTGCATAAAAGAAAATTGCAAGCTTATAGCTTTTCTATGTTCTGTCTTTTTTTTATGGTAATATTTACAAGTCCCTTTTTCAGTCACACTGTAATAGTACCTCTCTCCTAATATTTCCTTTAACCGGTATGTACATGCCAGTGTTTTACAATTGTGAAAATTATACCCAAATTAGAAGTCATTGCCAAGTCAGTTGAAGATATTCTCTTGTAAATATTTTGAGCTATGTATTTGAGTTTTTTGAACACTCCAGCATTGAATATTGTATATAAAATACCTATTTTCCTTAAAGTATCATGTTCTTCCTGCCCCACCCCCTCAGCTGTCACATCCCCATTAGTTAAAAATTTTCTGTGTTTTATTAAAACAGCTGTAACACTGAGGTAGAACTCTCTCTGTTGCCACCTCTACACTCATATTTTAAACACCTTAAGTGTCTCACTGTTCTTCCTGCCTGTACACAAACAGACTGTCTTTATTCTGGTTCTGAAAACTACTTAACCTGT